TTTTCGGGTTTTTTTAAATAATAATGGGATTATTGTGAGAATTTGAGGTATAGATATTAGGATCCAGTAGATGGAAGTAGTGCAACAATAATGGATGCAAGCTGCTGTTGAAATCTAAAGAAGAAGAAGAAGAAGAAGAAGAAAGCGCCTATTTAAATTTAGCACATGCTAGTAGCAGACACGAAGGATCAGCACTTTTACTGTTACAGTTACCGTTCGGAAACTACCGTAATCAGTTCAGTTAAATCTAAACTTGGCAACTTTTTCCTTTTTAAACCGTAATAAATGTGATATTCAATTGACCTGTTATGACTCAAATTTTGGGTGTCCGCGCCCCGTCTGCTGCTGCTGCATCGCTGTGGAAAACCTGGAGTGGCAGAGATATCTGAGGCTTTTATGTGTATGTTTACTGCTTGTTTTTTTTGTTTTTTTCGTTTTTAACTTTGGGGTTGTGGCTTATAGTCTGAGGCAGCTCGTAGTTTGGAAAATACGGACTATAATCCTTCCTGGATTGTTTCTGTGAAGAACCCAGAGAGGGTTATTTTGTTATTATTTATTTCATTAATAGTGTTATTATTTATTTCCTGACTTTTGTTCTGTGAAGAACCCAGAAAGGGGTATTTGATTGTGCTTTCTGGAAAACAATACATTTTTACATTTAGGCACACTTTTTCTGTTACAAACTGATTCCGGCCCCCCGCCAAAGAAGGGAAAAGTTATGTGGCCCTCACAGGAAAAAGTTTGGGGACCCCTGAGCTAGAAGGACTGTTTTGTCTCTCACTCACTGACTGGCTGGTCACCAACATGTATGCCCTCTGGTTTCTATTCAACACATGCAGGCACTTTACAGACAGATAAGTCTATTTCGAAGACCACTTATATCCCGCTGGAGGTTTCCCTAAGCCAGGGTCAAACGGTGCAATCTTAGTCAAAATCTTTTTTTTATCGTGAAAGAAAACCTCTGGTTATGAGCTTGAGCTGCTGGACCGTGATCATCCAGTGAGCCAGAAGCACTGACCGCCCATTTAGCGCTCCAACTACAAAGACGATCTGTGAAAAATATCAAGCACTATTTGATATTTTCTGCAAAACTAATCTGGTCTGACTGCTGCTGTCACCGCCGTCTGATTCTTGTCCTCTTTTGTCCTAACATGAGTGCTTCTGCTCCGTCTTTCTCCGCCTTCGTTCCGTCTTTCCAGCTTTCGACACTAATAAAAAGCACTTTAAAAGCTGTAACTCATAGTACATACATTGATTGATATTTCTGTCCGATGTGATTGCGCTGCGGCATAATAGTGTAGCCTGGCATCTTCAATTGTGCAGTGTGACAGGAAAATATCTGTCTCACACAATGTCACACATAAAGGACCTGAACAATTTTTGATTTTTTTTTTTTTTTTTTTTCCAAGTTTTTAAGCCTTAAATAATGTGAAATTTAAAACCCCTCCTAACTTTCACTCATCCCTTCTTGTGTTCCTGCCATAAAGAAACTCTGCATTTGACAGATGTTTAAAAACCCAGAACTTCTAATAAAATGGTCCTGAACTACAGGTTTAATGGTAATTTTGTTTCAAAACTGTATTATAGGTGGAAAACTTACCATAGTACCCATTAAAAAACAGTGACCATTTCATCCCTAATGGACACTTAACATTTTTAGCTAGCGAGTTTATGTAGATAAGAACCTTAACATCTGAACATTGTAATGTCATTTTAACTCCTCCAGTGTCATAAAAACGCTGAACAAAAGTCAGAGAGTGACAAGTGAAGGTATTAAATGTTACCAACATGACATCACACCTGCACCTCATTCAATTTGCAGTGATCTTCAAACAGGAACATGTGATTGTGATCTCATATCCGAGAGCGGTAATTAGCACAATAAGGAAAGCAGAGTGAAAAGTGTACGGTCGAGTTAGAGGATTCCTGGCATGAAATACCTGCAGTCGTCCCACATCGCACTTTAACACAGCTCTCCAAAACCAAAGTGACGCCATACACTAGTTCAATGCATTAAGAACCTTTGTTACTTCTTAATATAGTGAATATATAACTGTCCAAATTCATTTGTAAGTTTAAATTATGGCTATGCTAATCCTTTTTCATTATTTTACATGTTGATTTATTCTGTAGTTATTTTATGTCAATGTAGATTTACAACAACAGATCGAGTTCTTTCCTAAATTGTCTTGTTTTTTATGTGCTTTTAAAATAAAGGTGATGATCACATTGAAGCTTGAAGAATTACGTTTTATGATGCTAAAAGCAACAAAAAAAAAACCTAAATAAAGTTGTTCTTAAATTTATTTTCTGTTATCTTTGTCATGAATTCAAGATCTTTAAATGTGTAATGTTATCAACTTAATTTCATTTGGAATAAACCTTTATAGTCCCATTCCTGGATCTGCAATAACGCAATTTATTAAAGCTGAGTCAATGGGAATTCTGGGTCAATATTAAGGTTGAAAAATGTGCTCTACACAAATGGTTTCAACAAGTGTTTACAATCTTCATTTGACATAAATTGATGAAATATAGCCTTTAAAGGAACATGAGTGTGTATAAATGACTATAAATAAAGAGGTTATATAAAAAAACTAAGCTGGACAATGATAACTGAGAGGAATTTGTAAAACTCTTGCGACAGAATCTGAAGGAAAGTGGCAGTTCTGCACCCTCAGTTTTTTTTCTTTTCTCAATCTAAATGTCTCAATCACAAAAACTCAGTCTTAAACTAGATAAAAAATTAAAAAAAAAATCTAATTCAGCTTTGACCAATCCAGAATTCCTAAAATCAGACACTAATTTCAGCGTCATGCACCACAATGCACAGACATATCTTACTTGTTCCATCAAACTTCAGGGCACCCAATTCTCATTAAGCAGGCAAACAAAACACAACAAAAAAGTACGTTGTTTTTTTGTTTTTTTAATTCCACATGGGCCATCTCCTAACCAATATCACCTAAGGTGGTGAGTCACATCATCTACTCTACATCCAACCACTAAATGTCTTGACTCTCTGACAGAGGTACACCCAGGAAGAAAATACACTTTGAAACTTTTGTCAAGTAGTACAGCGTAGAGTAAAATTCTCAAAAGCCTCTTAAAACTTTACTGTACTATAAATAAGTCATTGTTAACAGTTGTCCTCTCAGTGTTCTGAGGCATCTGTAACGGTCTGTCACGTATTGGAAATGTGTCTTGTGCCGAGACAAATCTTTATTGGATAACTGTTTCTAAAGGGAGCAAAAGATGCCATATGGTTTGGTCTTTAATGAGGAAGAGGATCAACCAGGTAGCTATAAGTAAGAGTCAAAATAATAATATGTGTTTCCCTGGAAACTGGCATTTACTATTTCAGTGAAGCAAAACTGAAACTAAAATCATTCTGAAAATGTGCAAGACCATAATATGTTTAAGATATTTTTTTTTTTAAGAAAAAACGCCCATCACTCATGCATGATAATATTGCAACTACTTTTTTTTTTTTTAATTACCATCTTGTGAGTTTTTGAAAGTGCATTAAATTAAGTTCCTTAGTTTGTTTTTTCACCCGCACTCTGAGGCCAACAAAGTGTGTAACAGTCTTTACCAGGACCTGGAGATGGTAACAGATGTTAGATGTTTGAAGTGAACTCGGGGAGCGCAATCCAGAAATTTTACAGAGTGCCAAAAACATCTCATCGTATCATAAAGCAGACTGAAAGGTTACATTTGTTTAACTTTACTGCTTGCTGGGTTCAGTGCATGCACTGGAAACCTCACACATGCTGGCGTGCAACAATCAGACAGCCTTAGCTGCAACGCGGACTGTTTCATGTCAAACAGAATCCGGTCCATGAAACGAGCTTGAGCTCATCTGACAAATCCCTTTTTCACGCACACATTGACACCATCAATGCCACTGCTCTGCCTCTGACTAGGGAAAGCCATGAACTAACATCACTTTGGTTGATTCAAGCAAATTACACATTAAAGGAGATATCTGGATGCAAGTGAGTAACAAAATATCAACCATAACATGGTGTTCTTCTTAAAAGATTAAGAAAAAAATAATAATAATAATTGTACCTTGGACATTGATTATGGTATGTATATTTTTGGTTGACTCAAGCTGCTTTGTCCAAGCTTTCATTGTAATTTATAAAGGACTCCAAAACGATCATCTCGAAGCTGCCAGAAAACCTTATCCGCTACAAAACAATACTATGTCGCCATCTTGTGGGCAAAAAACAACATTGCTAAAAAATGAATTGATGCAGATCCACTGCTCTGTTTATAGCTAATTGGTTATGCAGAACGTAATAATAATTATTATTACTACTACTATTATTTTTGGAATAAAGATTGAGTAAAGGGGAACTATTAGGCAAATTTAACTTTTTGCCTGTGTTTGTAGTTCCAACAGTCCAAGGTTAATGTTTTTGGTGTCTGGAAACGAGCCACTTCAGCAACATGTAACGCCATAAATGTAAATGTAACGCCATAAATCACCAGTGTCTGGTGATTTATGTTAACCCTAGGCACTGAGGCCTCACTCACAATCCTAACACCCACACTGTGCACAGGGGGCAATAGCAAACTCCGGGACACTATAGAGCATTTTCCAGGCAGATTCACACAATGCTAAGGCCCAACTTAATTATTTGAACTTCCAATCAAGCTTGTTAAATCGCACACTCCTTAGTCAAAAGCTAAAACCATCCCATTGTCTGTACGCCTTTCCAGTATGAGAAACCCGTTGCTGCTATCTTACTCATAAATCACACAACAATGAAATAAAGAATAATTAAGTATTCACTAAAAGTCAACCGAGCAGAAAGCACACCAGTAGTGAAAACGCCAATTTAGCCTACTGCACTTATACCAACTCAGCACCATGATTTAACTACATGTTATACCAGAAGACATTTTAAGCAAAACAAATTCGTTAGCTAGTCGCACTGCAACAGTTTATATAAGCCCACTCAATTCACAGGAGGCGTTGTGGCTCTTACCTTAAGAAGTTTCTCTCTTTCTTGTCTTTATCCTTGCAAAGTTTGCAAAAAGTCCTAAAACTTCACCTTCCTCACTAGTTAGGACTCGATGGCCGTCAAGGATACTGCGGAAAGCCTCTTTACACATAACAGTTGTCCTGAGTTCTTTTTTTTCTTTTCTTTTTTTTTCTTCGTTTCACTTGCGAAGAAAGTAATCTCTCCGTCACGGTTTTTCAGTTTTCGAAAAGCTGAAATAATTGAGTAGTATTCCCTCCCGAATGCTTTTTGAAATCTTGACAGTGCCCCGGGTCTTTGAATGGCACTTGCTGCTGCCAATGAGCTTGACGTGGCTTCTGTGTGCTCGCCATTTTTCATCGCTAAAGTTAGCTACAATTAATTCAGGCTGAGCACAGCTGGTAGAGGGTGATGCTTCCAAGCTAACATCTGTTACATATGGGGAACTTTTTTATTATTATTATTTGCTTCTGTCTCTTTTCCTAGCTCTTCTCGCTGGATTTCGGTTACCGCAGTATATTTTCTGCCAACACGACGGCGATAAATGTTCCCACAGTTACAACCTATCTGACCATGAATCAGTTGCAAATTCATTATGCTATTTCAAATTAAACTTGTTCTCAGAGAATCTGATCTTGGACTAGTACAATGGAAACCACCATTGATATGCCCGCTCACTGTTAGCATTAGCCAATCTCAGACACAATGAGAGTTATTTTTTAACAACTTTTGTTCCATTCTGATTATGAAAACTGAGGCCCATGGACTTTCTTTTACTGGGTTTCTACTGTAGTCCAAAAAAAAAAAATTCTATTGGCAATAAGAACCCTCTCTGCCCAGGTTGCCCATATGGTTATGTCATTAATTTAACAACTTTATGTCAGGGTAATCTGCTAAAAGGACAGCTGACGGCCCTACGCTTGATAGATTTGGAAGAATGTGAAGAAGCAGAACAACGTTGAAAGTAAAAGGTAGCAAGGTTGACAATTTTCCACCAGATACATGGATGATGCATGTGAAAAAGGTTTCATCAACACCAGTTTTGGTTTTGATGAAACCAATACTGAACTTTTTGGAACACATGCAAAATGGCATAAAAACATCATCCCTACCATAAAACACGGTGGAGGAAGAGTGATGCTGTGGGAATGTTTTCTGGTCAGACCTAGTGAAGATGTATGAAACTATGTGTAGGGCTGGAGCTACAATGGGATTTCTGAGTTGTAATCATATTTGTGTTAGAATGACCTAAATCCAATCGAAAATGTTTGGCAAGTAGTTAAAATTGCTGTTCACTGACACTCTTCAATCATTTCTATTCAGTTTTCGTCTTGAGGCACTTTACAAAAAAAAAAATAATAATAATAGTAATAATAATTTCAGTTGAAGAGTATTCTGTCTAAGGAAGCCCAGCAGATTGCATCGAGTTTTTGACTCGCAGCATTCGCTCCTCGTGGAACGATTCTGACTGAGTTTGACCTACTTTGCAAAACATGAGCAAAATGTTCAGTCCCTCGATGTGCAAAATTGTTAGAGATGAATTCCAAAAGCCCTCAAGCTGTAACTCCAGTAAAAGAAGCTTAAAATATCACTCATTAAATATTTACTCAGTTTCAGCAAAAAAAAAAAAAAAAAAAAATCAAAAATTGGTCTCTCCCATTTTCCAGGACGTTTTTATCTGAATGCTATTTATTCATTAGCGGTCCCTTAAGCTCTTTAACTGTCAAATCTAACAACAGAAAATAATGAATCAGCTTTATGTGGCCTAACTTATTATTTTCTTATTACTGTTTTTACCAGCCACCTCCCAAAAGTAGAAAACACAATAAGCCACTAAAGCAAATAAAAACATGGCCTCCCTAGTAGACGATACCAATGTAAACATGTAAATAGCTCATTTGAACGTTGCCAAGTCTAAGATAATAACATCAACTCAGTGGCATTGGAAGAATTGTGAAATATGTTTGCTTTATTAATGTGTTTTCCTGTGTTGTTAATAGTAATTAACATGCAAATGAACGCTTGGAGCCAAACTGGGGCATGTGCTTCTCTTTTCATAATTACTGTGTAACATCAGCATTATAAATGAGATCTCTCTCGCTGGAAGACAAGACAGTAATTGGGGTTTTGACTAAATAACTTGCTGCCCAGAATAAAACATCAGACAGAGGGGATAATAATGATCTCTGTTAATTATGTGTCTGATCCCAGGAGAGACTGGTCTGTGATGGATTAGCAGAATTAGCATACATTGAAATATGTGTATAGATTGTTTCTACGGACGTACGCTATTATCAACTGCTATCATGAATATTGGTAGTTAAATCCTTAACTATTTCTGCTGCTGGATTGTTTTCAATCTCCAAAGATTCCTTGATTCAATTTTTATTGAAACTGAAACCCATTTTAGCCTAACACACTAACTGAAAACAAAAAAAGATTATGATTAAAGCTGAGCATTTAAAAAAACAACAACAACAACAACTTAGGACAAGTTGTTGTTGTTATACCATAAATTTGGGTTTATGGTATATGTGGGACCTTTGTGTAGTTGGAATAATGTGCCTAAACCCTGTTAAAATTTTACTCATCTGACCTATGATGAAAAGGTTAAGAGTGTCCAGGAACAACTCAGGAACCAACAGGAAGGCTCAGGCCCATCATAAACTTCAACATGCTGGAAAACCGCCATTACCACATGTAAAGTCGGTTCTTTCTTTCAAACCTGTCAACAGAGAAACCATCAAGCCTGCTGGTGGAAATATGGGGGCCGTTTTTGCCAGTGACAGAGATGCTCTGTACAAAGTGGGTAGAGCAAAACAACAACAACAAAAAAGAACTACTCCAAATTTGATAACTTCAAATTACATCAACAGCCAGATGGTTGAAACTTGGACTTGATTCAAAACACAAATCAAAATTGGTTTTGGAAAAAGAATAAAGCAGCTTTAGCTTTTGAAATGGTTCTCGACTTTAATCCGATTTGAAATTTTGAAGACTTTGTTTGCGTCGGTGCTAAGAACAAGACAAATTTAAATGAAGTGTATCATCAGTTCTGTCACTGAGATTGGTCAGATTAAAATTCCACTTTACAAAACGTAAAAAATATTTTTCTTCTGTTTTTTTTTTTATTATTCATTTACATTCCTTGAACTTTTCAGTGCTGTTAAAATTGATTTCAGATATCTATTTCTAAAGGCTTTCACAGAGGGACTATTTAACACAACTGGTAAACAGCAGCCCAAATTTTCTGTCTCTGCAGACAACTGACATTCAAGGTAAATACACATTTGTAATATAGCAGAGTTTACTGAATCAATGTGTCTGATGTCGGAATGAAAGACAGAGATAAAGTGTTCTTTCAGTCTTTATTTATTTGGAAAGCAACAAAATCGACCATGTGCAACACGGAACCAGTCACTTTAGTTGGAGGTCATGACCTGAAAAAAACAAAAGGAAAATATTATAGCATAACATAACATTGTGTCAGATGTCTGTCCTTCCATAAGATCTTTTAATATAGTTAAATTACAGTGGGGTTTTTTTTTTCAGCCTTTTATTATTTTGTAACAATTTCAAACATTCTAACTAGAGACACACAGTTAGCTGGTTAAATTTGAAAAGCAAAAAAATACAAAAATAAAAATTAAAAAAAATCCCCCATTTTTACCAAATGTTTCTACTATATAAATGTTTCTACTTACAGTGTTGATCCAGCTGATGTAGTCGCTGACTCTGGTGAAGACAGAGGGCTTCTTGGGGTAGTTGCAGCCCGCACTTGAGCCGAAGCTCACCACTCCATGGACATCCCAAGAGCCATCAGGGTTCCTGCAGTTCAGGGGACCGCCGGAGTCTCCCTGGAGGACAGAAGGGACAATGTAACTCTGGACAGTACGTCTTACACTTACACAAACGTTAGTGTAAGGATTGTTGTTTTGCTCTACCCCCAAGGATAGTTTATTAGTCAAATGAAAGTTTATCAAATATAGGTAGTCTGACTTACGTTGCAGCTAGCCACCTCACCATCGCCTCCAGCACAAATCATGCTAGTGGTGACCAGGTAGCCCCACCAGTCGCTTCTGCTGCAGGTGGCGTAATCGACCACGGGGAGGAGGGCCTGCTGCAGGATGTCAGCGATGGGGCCTCCAGCTTTATTCAAAAACAAATAAGACGCCTAAATTAACAACTGGAGTTCAGAAGAACATCTTCATTAATAATGTCTTAGCTTATTTTTTGAGTTGTGATCATGTATCATCATTTCAAGAGAAGTGTTTTAGCTGTGCATTTTACAGATTAACTGAAATGACTAATTGACTGAAAAGCTTTATTCACTCAAGCCTTAATCAGGTCCGTGGTAAGTCACGTTTGGGTTCAAGATTATTGTCTGTAAAACCAGTCTTCAAAAAAATAAAAAATAAATACAAAAAGACATGAATTACGGGTTTCTTCTTAAATATAACGTCAATCCACCTTAGCACAAGGCTGAGGCGGACTGTTTGTCTTTCTCTTGTGGCTGCAGGACTTACTCCAGAGACGTCCCCAGCCAGTGACGTAGCAGGGAGCCTGGTGGGGCAGAATATCACCAGCGTTGGGGAGACAGGCAGGGGTGATGGAAGCTGAGATTTGGACAGGAGATGCCAGCTTGATCAGGGCAATGTCGTTGCTGGACCATGAGAAGTAGGTAAAGATACAAAAAAAAAAATCAGAAACAGAGCAGCGTGGGAAAAATGACCCAATGTGGGTACATCATCATAACACCCAGCATGCCGTGGGTTTTCTCCGAGAAATCTGTTCCCCACCGGATATTGTAAGAGTCCCAGTTGGGGTGGACGATGATCTTCTGAGGGCTGATGGCAATGGAACCACCCTCGTTGGAGGCGGTCAGGTCATGTTTTCCCAGGTAAACTCTGTAGGTGCGGCTTCTGTTTAATCGAAGAAAGGAAAAAAAAAAAAAACAGAAAAAAATCCAATGAAATACAAATAAATTTACAACATCACTAAAGTTACCAATAATAGAAGACCGTTATATTAGAAAGAAACTAGGGCATTTAAATAAACTGAATTGAAGACTGGCATGAAGTGCAAAAATATCACAATTTATTTTTCTTTTTTGGAGAGAAAGCTGATGGTTTTTTCGGGGGCAGGAGTGGGATGCGGAGTTAGGAGTTTGTCCTGTAACTGGTGGGTTTCTGGTATGAAGCCCTGCTCATGTGTGTCATGGTTTGGGGATTTCAAAGCTTACTAACCACAAAAATATAATTAAAATTTGCTATTATTATTTAAAAAAAAAACATATTTACAGGTTTTTTTTTGGTAAAACTGACACGCTTCTATGTTTAAGGATTTTAA